AAACATAACAACAATGGCTTGTTTTCTATTAGTTCTGCTTATAATATGCTTATTACTGCTAATCAAATTAATAACAGTAATATTAATCATCAGGTTTTTAAGCTCATTTGCGGCTATAAAGACTCCCCTAGCATTAGTGTTTTTCTCTGGAAAGTTGCTCATGGTAGATTATTAACCAATGAGGAGAGATTCAATAGGAATAAGTCTAATTCTCCCCTGTGTGCTAGGTGTAGTCATGGTAGTCAAAATCGAGATTATACGTAGGATCGGAAAAAGGATGAAAGATCGTAGCTCATAGGATCATAATACGGATCATAAGATCCTACAAAATTGTATAAATGCATGTAAAATAGTATAAATATAAAGATGGGGAAGTAAAATAGATACAAATGAGGGAAGGGAGCAACACTCAATTCAAACCAGAGACAGGGACATGCTAAAAATAAAGACAGAGAAGGAGGAAAATATGGATCAGGTAAGGTATTCTGTTAGAAAGACTATTTTACCCCTAAAAAAGACTTAAAATAGAGTCATTTTAAGGGCTAAAAAGAAAAATTGGATTATTTTTAAAAATTAAGAAGTCCTTTTTACCCTTAATAAACTCTAAAATTTGCTTTATTCTGAGGATAGAAAGGGAAAGTTGACTACTTATACTCCATTGGCACTGTTGCACTGCGAATGAGGAAATAATGGTTGCAAATACAGCTGGGATGGCCACCACAGCAAAATGCTCCACTTTGACAAGGTTGCCGGCGTAAAGCAGAGTGCTGGCACAGATAAGGTCGCCGAAACAGACACAGTCATTGGAGCGAAAGCTATAAGGATTGCAGACCAAAACAGAGCACAGAAAGCAAAAAATCCCAGATGAAATTGCAGGAAAAAAATCCAGTCGTGGAGCCAAATCACAATCGCCAAAAAAACGCAAAGAAGTTACACAACAAAGACATAAAGTCTCACAGAACAGAGTAAAGAAGAAAGGAAGAAGTCGCAGTACGGAGCTTTTGAGATTTTAGGGTTCCAACTCCTTTAATGAAGTCGGGTCGGGTCGCGGGTCGTTAGCCCAAAATATCTTCTTCTTTGCACATCGGAATCATGCGTTTTCAACGATTTTACGTCCCAGCAAGACCGATCCCACCGTTTCGTGTTCCTAGCACCGACTCAGCAAGGAGGCGTGGCTGGAGATTGTAGAATTGTACGATTCTATGATCCAAAATGCGATTTTGACTACTATAAGTGTAATGAGGCCCCTGAATCTATGATTCGTGTCCTTAGGAACTGTTGGTGGGCTAACCAAATATAGAGCAAAATCTTTCCTAATATTAACTGGGCATCTTTTTTAAGTTTGGGTTTAACTAATTGGCTAATTTTTAATCTCACTTTACAGAATTTTTCCATGTTTCCTCTATGGCATTCCCTATTTGCTAATGTCGCTGGCAACTTATGGAAAGATAGAAACTGTAGTATTTTTCAAAATTCTCCTTTAACTAATGAGACTTTGCTAAATAAGATTGCTTGTGATTTTAATTATTTGCAGTCTTGTGACAGAGGTGGGCTGAGAGCTAATTCTGGGTTGAGGAAGCAGCAGAGTTTGATTAAGCAACTTCCTCTTCTTGAGAAGCAATTCAAGCTCAATACAGATAGATCTGTCATCCAGAGAGCCTTTCCTTAGACTTGATTCTCTTAGCATTTGTTGGCCTAAACTTAGTAGCTAGTGTGTTTTTGTTTTTTTGGCTGTGTAAGCCCCCTTGAATAGAAGAAAAATATATTATTTGAATTTTGATCTGTTACATCTTAAAATAAATTGCAAGGAAAGGAAAAAAAAAAAACTGTGCCTCACTTTAAAAAATCATGAAATCTATATTTATTTTTTCCCTTTACTTACACTTCAGATAATCCATACAAGTGCTTAATGAAAAGACTTTCCATTTTTTATTTTTTCCTAGCAGTTTTCTTATTATTTGAGCAATAATTCATTTACTTATAAAAGTGATAGTTACCTCTATTTCCAATTTTTTTTTAAGAACTTTGGAGTTGGATACGTGTCTTACTGTCTTACACCGCAAGTGGGAACATGCAATCGAAAAGCATAGAGAGACACAGGATACCAATGAAACTAAATTAGAAAATACTAACAAATTTGTTATCATTATTAAATTTCATTTACGTGCCTATTTCTATAAGTATCATCTATTAAAAGATAGCATAATTATATTTATTGGGGTTGAAATTTAAAATTACAAATTAAATTGAAACAATATTCTATCCTCTGATTCAATGCTGTTAGTTATAAGGCCTTCATCGTCTTTATCATTTTTACTAACCCCTCTCTATTTCCAAGTGTTAAACAAGAATGTTCGAGAGTCCGGATGAGCAGATATAATACTGAGATTACTCATAGCAGTCCGCTACAGCAATCTTCGTGTTACATCCGTTTCTCTGGGACTCTCCAGCATTCTTGTTAACTCTAGGATAAATGCAGCCAACGGAAGAGAAAGACGAAGATTACAAAGATAAACGTATTTATAACATGCACTACACTGTAAACTTGAGAAGAAGATTTTTCCTTTACTTTCTTTTCTTTCTTATTTGAGCTTTTTATGTTTTAATGTATTAGGTTTCTTTTTATTTGGTATGGAAGTTTATTGTTTATCAAGTAATTTAAATTAAGCTGATGTTGTTTCGTCTCTTCCTTGTAGTAAGACTTTCTGTTTGACTTATAGAGTGCAGCTTATCTCATTGTCAACATCAGTTAGGAATAGCCTTTCAGCCCAACCATGCAAGACTCTTCTTAATGTATCTTAATTTTAAGAGTAATTTTTCAATTAATCTTAAAACAGATAACTCCAATTATAATAATTTTTTAAATACACAATTTACTAAATTTATTATGTCAAATGAATCATTGATTTAACGATGTTAAAGATTGATATGTTCGCAAAATATATGTTAAGTTAAATTTTGGTGTTTTATTAGTATAAAAATTTTTACACTATTAATTAATTAGAATGTATTATGAATGTATTTTTATATTAATTATTATAAAAATTAATAATTTTTATCAATAATATAATCTATAATTGAATAAAAATATAAAAAATATTTTCACTATCGATCAGTTTATCTAAATTAAACTTGTATACAATTTTTAAATTCATGAGCTAATTTTATTTTTTATGAATTAATAAAACCCATATAATATTTAAAGATTAAAGGTGTATTTGAATAATTATTTATTTAAATACATATTTAATAAATTTTTAAAAATAATAATTTATGTCATAAATTTAATAATAAAATTTATTAAAATAAATAAAAATAATTTATTTTGATAAATTAAAAAATATTTTATAAAAATTATAAGATAATTTGTATCAATAAATAATTTGTATAAATTTATTGATATACTCTTCTAAACATATTTGAAATTAAAATAAATTAAAAATATTATTTTAATTTTTAATAATTCAAGAATGAAATTTTCTAGTGCCATAAGTGTATGACATGATTGATGTTTCCCTTACTCATAAAAGTACATGATCAATTTTATGCTGACCGAAAGATCATTTAAATGGACCGATTCAAACCTAATTGTTCCACTCTTGATCCGATTAGACTATTGCATTGCCAATTTGCACGAGGGAATCGTTCCACAATTTCCCAAGTGTGTGTCATATATTATTATGACTTTTCTAAACTACGTAATATTACATAAATTAAGAATATATATATATATATATATATATATATTTATTAAAATTTAATACATTGATGTTACTAAGTATTATAATTTTTTTAAAAATGATTATTTATCAATTTTATAATGTCTGATATCGCACAAGAAAAAAATATTTTATAAATTAATTTGAACTAGTATTATATATATCTTTTATTTTTTTCGATCCTCGTCTTGTAGTGTGACTTGTTTGGAAATAAGGAATAAATTAACCAGATTGAATCGAGTAGTTAAAATTTAAACACAACTAATAAAAAAAAGCTCAAATTTTAATTATTTATTAAGACGAGAGAAAAAATTTTAAATTTAATTTGATAAAAATACAAAACAAACTTAATTTGTTTATGGTGATGATTTATTAATTATTTTACATAATATTCGGCAAAAAAAAATGGAAAAATCATCCAAGATAACGGTGAAGCTTAAGTTTTTATAAAAAAATCCAAAATGGCTTGATCAATTTGCTGTCACGGCGTGTAATATTTGATATTTTTATTTTGCCTATGAGTGAGGATATTCCGCATTGAGTACTGTAAATAATAAAAATAAAGCGTTGGGGCCTTTTGCGAGACGTTGGTTAAAGCGTGACATGGTTGGCAGCAGTTCGAGGGGAGGCCCACTGGGAAGGGAAACGGAGCAAAAGGTGAGCGACAGGCTCGTGGTGGGGGCCCACAACACAACAAGAAGGGCCCACTCCCAACCCTTACTTTTATTCGCTTAACCCATTCATCATCGCAACCATCGCCGTGCCCATTTTGGATTGGACTATTCCAATCCAACTATGCAGGTGCGGCAGAAGCCCCCCTTTGTTGCTGTTGCTGACAATCGAAACGACGACGTCATCTTCGTTTCCATTGCACGGAAACAACTTTCTAGTAATCTTCGTTTGGAATTTGGATTATGAAGAATATATCAAAGCAAAACCGGGCACACATGGCCTGGCTGCCACGTGTTACTGTTTTGAAAAATTCTAAAATAAATATTCCAAACCAATAAATATTAAATCCCATAATTACACGATAATAATATAATTAGTATTAGATTAGCACTCAGAACCTGAATCAGTTGTCGCGAGGCGGTAAATACATACACACAACGCGTGAGGATTGAGGAATTAAAATTCGAATTGACCATAATGCCCTCGGTGCGTGTCTACATGATAAAAGTAGTGGTCGACGAGACTTTGGGTTATGTATTCGGGAAAAGGAATATTATTAATAATCAAAAGCGGCATCGTATAAGAAATTGAATGAAACCATTGAGAAAGTGGAATCATCATCAATCTCGTAACGGAACTTTTTTCAGTTCCATAGCTGTGTGGAGACGACAAGTGCCACCCATTCCCCCATAGATACTGCGAGGCTACACTGCATCTTTAACCTCTTCGTGGGAATAAAAGACATTAAACCTCTTCGGAGATAACACACGTTGCTTTGCTTCTCCACTAAGATTTCAACGAGTCGTTTTGCGTGTGGTGTGGTTGCGATCTGGTTTTGATCGATTGATTGATTGCTACTTTGGAGCGAAGGGGAAGGGGAGAATAGAGTGGACCCCAAAATGTGGTGGATGATGGGCGAGACCGGAGGAAATTACTGTTCTAAGAAGAGCGATGATTTGTGTAGCAATGTTTGTGGCCAGGTATATAAATCATCAACAAATAATTAAATATATTATTTTTATTTTTATTTTTATTAAGAATGTTACTTTTTTAGTTTATGTGCTTTAGATGTAAGTTAATCTTTCTGCTGTGGCTTCGATTCGCCACTTTAATTTATGGTTTCGGCGATTCTGTGAAAATTAAGTGAGATTGAACGGTTTTTCCTTAGAAAACCGTTGATATGGAGATGGACACAAAATGGATATAGTGTAATGCATCGGTGAATTGTCATGTAAATTTCGTCCTAGATTTGCTCTTTTTTTTTTCCTTTTTTTTTTTTTCACTTGTGTGTTATTTCGTTGGTGTTACTAATTTATTTATTTTTGTACGTGCGAGGTATACGTGATCTGAATTTGGGTAAGGTTGTGTTTGAGGTTTTAGCTTCTGGCTTTTCTAATTTTAGCAAAGAACTATTTTTAACGGTTTGTAAGTAAACGCGCAGGAGGACCCCTTTTACCATATTCCCTTCTTGTTTCTATTTTCGGGAAATTCATTTGAAGGGGATGGGGTCTCGGTTGGATTTGAACGGTTGCAAGGTTCCTCACATGAACAGCTTGCATTTTGGGGTTGTTCTGGGCATGTTTCTTATCTTTGCATGATACAGCTTTGGCTTTATGATTACAATTACCCATTTAAGTCAAACGATTCTTGAATGTTTTCACCAATAGAGAGGAGCATTGGCCATTTTGATTATGGGTTTTATCTTTGTATGATCTAATGAAGGTGCATTATATATTGATTTTCATGATTTTCCATTCTTGAAGGTGGATTTTTTCTGTTTATTCATACGTTTGTTCCTTAATTATACAGGAATCAAGTCAAGCTTCGGGGATGTCAAGAATTCGCTGCATTCTGCGTGGTTTGGATGTGAAAACCTATATATTCCTGATTACGGTTGTCCCAATGTGCATCTTTGGATTCTATATACATGGGCAGAAGATCTCCTACTTTCTTCGACCTCTATGGGAAAAACCGCCCAGGCCTTTCAGGGTCATCCCTCATTACTATAATGAAAACGTCACAATGAAGAATCTCTGCAGGCTTCATGGCTGGGGTGTCCGGGAGTATCCTAGACGTGTTTATGATGCCGTGCTGTTTAGCAATGAGTTGGAAATACTTACCTTGCGCTGGAGAGAATTGTACCCCTACATAACTGAATTTGTTCTCCTTGAGTCAAATTCTACATTTACAGGATTGCCTAAGCCTCTGGTTTTCAGTAGCAACAGGGATCAGTTCAAATTTGTTGAGCCCCGGTTAACTTATGGAACCATTGGTGGGAGATTTAGAAGAGGAGAAAACCCATTTGTCGAGGAGGCATATCAGCGTGTGGCATTGGACCAGCTCCTCAAGATCGCTGGTATTACGGATGATGACTTGTTGATTATGTCTGATGTGGATGAGATACCAAGTGCTCACACTATTAACCTCTTGAGGTGGTGTGATGAAGTGCCTTCAATCCTTCATCTACAGCTGAAGAATTATCTCTATTCATTTGAGTTTCGTCTGGATGATAAGAGCTGGAGGGCTTCAGTTCACAGATACCAGAGTGGTAAGACAAGATATGCACATTATCGCCAATCTGATGACATATTGGCAGATGCTGGCTGGCATTGTAGCTTTTGCTTCCGTAGAATCAGTGATTTCATTTTCAAGATGAAGGCCTACAGCCATTATGATAGAGTCAGGTTCTCTCATTATTTAAATCCAGAAAGAATTCAGAGAGTAATCTGCAAAGGGGCTGATTTATTTGATATGCTGCCTGAGGAATACACTTTCCAGGAAATCATTGGTAAAATGGGACCAATTCCCCATTCCTATTCTGCAGTTCATCTTCCTGCTTTCCTTCTGGAAAATGCTGAGGAGTATAAATTTCTGTTGCCTGGGAATTGCATGAGAGAGAGATGATCTTCCAAAGTCATTCATAATACCGGCTTATTGCTAAGCTTGTAGCTTGTACAGCTCAAGTGACTCCTCTCGGAGCTTTTAACTGAGGTTGTGATTATTGTGTGCCACTCATGTGGCTGTATCATTGTCCAGTGAGATATTCTTTGAGTTCACATAAATTCTTTGATCTAGGGGGAATTCTGTATATAATTTAGAGTTGGACTTGATTCAAGGGGAGCAGCATGTCCACTTATGAGCAATTGAAACTTGAAAGCGCTGTTTGAAAACAGACTTGCCTTTATGAACTACTACTGTGTTTATCTGGTATTATTGTGTGGCTGATCCCCAATACGAGACAGATTCGTTTAAAATTCCTCACTTTTTCCTGTTTGGGAAGTTTTGTTTTGCAGACAAGTTTATTTCCTTATCATCCGATTGCTTGGCTATATTCATAACAATGCTGACTTAGTTTTATGCATTATATAAATATAATTTGGTTGCTATCAATTAGATACCGTTCCGATATGTGATTTTGCTCAAGTGAATGCTTTATGATGCCCCCTTCTTTTAACTATTTGGAATCCCTTTTCATTCAATATTCCTCCTTCTTTTCCTTCAATTTGGGAGTATGAGATTATTTTCCCCGTTTCATCATAAAAATATCCAAATTGTCACGATGGTAATTTCGTTCTGTTTTATTTTGTCATTTGTGAAGATCCGACCTGAATCATAGTATCTCTACATATTGGAGATTCCGCTGTCGTCCATAGATGTTAACCTTAATTGAGTGAACATTTTAAGCTTTTGGTATTTTAATTTTTCATTTCTCTATTATGCTTTATCTGCATTCCCCCCGGTTTCTTCTCTATTTCTATCCTTACAATTTTATTACGTATAATTTTATTTAATCATTATGATTATTATTAGTGGGGTATAGTTTGTAGCATAACAATTGTTGTTATTTATTATTTGATCGTGTATGTTTAAACTTTTGTTACAAAATTATCGATTATTTAAATATAAATTGTTTGCTGAATAAACATCTAATAAATGAAAGGTGACATGAATTTGTTTCGCCCTATAGAGAAAATAATTTTGGGGAGAGAACTAAAATACTTAAGAAGCCAAGAAAACGAGATCCCCCTGCTTCCATTCACGGGAATACAACACACAACTGACAGCCAGTGCCACACTGCTTCTCGTGGACTAAAATCTTATTATATAGTTTTTTATTTAATTGACAATTTATTTATTATTAATTAATTGGCTTGTTGTAAGGTAGATGATGATGATGATAACATGGTAGATTATTAATCTAAATATACGCAATTAAGAATAATTTTATTATTGAATAAATTCCGTATTTAATTTATGGGAATATACTAAGTAAGGACGGATCTAAGGTGGGATAAGGGCAAATTCTGGTTTAGGCAAGGCAGTTAAATTCGAACTTATGGATACCTATTCAATCATGACCCAACTTTAACATAGAAAATCTACTATGATTGGGCTTAAGTTTAAATCAATTTTTTCAGTCTGGGGGCAAATGGGCCACGTGAATCCTCGAAGTAATACTATTTACCATGCGACTGAAATAAAATTCCGGATATTATTTTTCAAACAATTTGATGAGATTGAGCAAGAAAGTGGGAAATGTTTTTACGAACCTTTAGATACATCAACAATTTGGCAGGTGAGAAGTGAAGTGAATCGAATTTCATCCTTGCCATGCCTTAGAGCATAATAAAATTGGTTATTCGGTGGCATTGGAATCTTTGAACAATCAAATGTACCGAATTGGATGCTCCATCGAGGCATCCAACTGCATAAATATCTCCTCATTATCTGAATATTCTTCTGCCAGAAAGGAAAAGAGGCATTAGATTCCGTCTTATCATCATCGAATAACATCATTAACCCCCTTACAATTAATCATTCAGGAATGCAATAAACTAAACTATAAATATTAGCTGAAATTAAGAGGAAGGTGAAACACAACCCTCGGAAAATGGCATACCAAAACTACAATGAGAAGTACTACAGGTGGCGATACCCCTATGACGAGTACGAGGCAGCACGTCCGAGGCAGCACAAGGGTCATGTGACACATAGGACGACAAACCATGAAGCCAAAGTAGAAGGGAACGTGGAGAGTAGTGAGGAAAGTACTAGGTTTGGTAATCACAGTGCTTTCAAGAGCGTCGACCAAGAAGCTGAGGCGTTTATTCAGTACGAGCATAGAAGGATGGAATTAGCCAGGCTCGCGTCAATCAGGCCTGAATGACTGACTCTCTTCATTCTTATCATCAAAGGTTAATTTGGTGTACCCTTAAAATGGTTAAAAAAATTTGGAATGAGTTTTTCATAGAATGTTTTTATCAATAACTCATTCCTTAATTTTTTAGCTACTTTTTAAGATCCCATCAAATGAATCGTGCCCATATTACCCACATCTCATATCATGTACAAAAATAATACACGCGTCGCGTACTTGGACATGTTTTTCTTTTTTTGTTTTACCTAAATAAATGCATCAAGGCCTCACTCGTTTGGCATGTTGTAATTGTTTCAACCCTTCTTTCAATTTCCTTATTTCCCCCAATTTCAGGATGCTTTGTTGCATAATGCAAACAGCAATCTATGATATGATATGTAAAATTGCGTGATCAAAATGAATACCAATCGTATCGTTCGGTTCTTTGACTAATTAGGACTAGTATTTGAAACTTAATTCTTAATATGGACCTGTTTGAGATTTGTCTTACTATTTTTTATATATTAGAGATTGAGAGCGGAAAAAAAATTTCATTGCTGTTGAAATTACGCTATGAATAAAGGTTTTTTTAAATTGTAAAACTTTGATAAATGACTCAATCTCAACGGTTGAAACTACAAAGTTTACGATGAAATGATGGATGGCGAAAACAGAACTTTTTTATTTAATTAATACATATTTAAAAATAAATTCTTAAAATATAATTATTTTTAAACTAATTCCTTGTCTGAAACTTTTTTTACCACATCACCAGTTATATCAGCTATGCATCGAAGATAGTTTTTTATTTATTATTTATTATTACTTTATCGGCCACAAACGTCCAATACTAAATCAAACATGTGACACATGAATAGTAATATCGGATAAAAAGAGACGTTAGCTATTATTTTTAAAAAAAATTACACTCTATCAGTCATCTTTGGGCGATATTAGTCAAGATTGTGACATGTGGCGAACAGGAAGAAATATCAGACTTTGTGGGACGATAGCGCTATTGGTGGTCAATATGCGTCAGCTCTATCGCTTTGACTTGGACGATACTTGTGTTGTCCTAACACGTGGCACAATACATCCTTTTATCTCTTAGTTTCTTACTGTCCAATTTTACTTGATATATATACATGGAGGAGGTTCCAAAAATGCAGTTTGGATTGGAGGAGCGGAAGAACATTTTGAGGTTAGTATATTTTGTTATTAAATTTATATTTTTGTATTAATAGTGTAAAAATTTAGTATGAAATTTAAATTAATTTATTTTTATTATTAAAAATTGGTAAAATAAAGGAAGAATTTAAATATATTTAATATAATATTTATGTAGATTTATTGATAAGTATATATTTATAATTTATTATAATTGATTTATGGAAGAAAATTAGGAAAAAAAATTGTGATAAACATGTAAAGTATAAATTTTGTAATAGTGAGTCTACTGTATTGTAAATGTAGTTATTGTTGTAGTTGTTAATTAAATAAAGAAATAATAATTTCTTATTTAATAGGATTTGAGAAGAATAAGTGTTGAAATGAAACATGTTAGGATGTACAAGTAGGTAATAAGTTATTATATATATATATATATATATATATATATATATATATATTATGTAACAAATAAATATGGATGTTTAGAAAATTTAAGAATTTGATTAATATTTTAAAATGAAGCATAATAATTTATTAAAATATTGAAAAATGTGTGAAATTTTGTAATTATAATTGAAATATGAATGAGTTCATTTGTTATTGACAAATAAATAAATAAATATGTTCTAATTGAGTAGTATAATTTGTTGATGCAGGATGACTGATTTTGTGATAATTGTATAGTGAAACAGTCGAATATTTTCAAGTAATGAAGGTGTTACGTTTGAAAGAAATAATAAAATGATTAAGATTGAACATGGAATAAGTTTGAAGACATTGATAAGAAAGATTCATACAAAACTGAAATTGTCTACTAGTCAAGTTATATCTAGATTGATTTCACAATTTTTAGTAGACCCGATTGTTAGATAATATACAATTATGGATATATGTGATATGAAGATACTGATTCTATGTTAAGTGTTTTTCTTCAACAAAATCAGCGAAGTGCAATTGAAGTATATGCAGATATTGCTTCTGATGAGAATTCTTGTATTTAGTCACAAGGTGTGGACTTAAATTTATCATGTTCACGTGATAACATGTCTAAAGAAGATGAACCTCCATTTTTATCAGGTGTAGTAATTTTATATTCTCTTATGAAAATATCAATTTAATTTCATTGTAAGTATATTTACCTAACAATAAATGTCATGGTTGTGTAGAATGTGAATATAAGAATGAAGATGATGATGACAATGAAATTGAATGGGGGGGATCCTGAAGAAACTTCATCTAAATCTGATTTGGAGGGTGGAATTCATAGTAACTTAAATATAAGTGATAATGCTGGAGTCGAAGGTATTAAGTACATTAAGTTGTTACAAAATATGTTTCAATAATAATGTAAAATAAATCGATTGTGTTGTAATATGCAGGCTTGGTTGAAACTCCTTTTTGGAATTCAAGTCCACAATATACCTATGTTAATTGGGAACATGCTGATGATGAATTGGAAAATATAGATGTTGATCCTGATCAAGGATGGAGGAAGGGTGATACATTATTTGTTGGGCAAATATTTGAGTGTAAAAAAGATGTTAAAATGGCTATTAAAAGCTTTGCATTGAAAACACATCAAACCTATATTATGATGGAATCAAAACCAACAAAATTTCATGTGAAATGCCCAAATCATAGTACAGGATGTCCTTGGAGGGTTAGAGCAAATTTGGGCAAAAATCTTAACAAGTGGAAAATCACAAGGTGTGGTGGAGCACATACGTGTGTTCATGCAATGATGTCTCTTGACCACAAAACATTGGATTCAAACTTCATTTACAATTGCGTTCTTGGTAAGTTGCACTAATTTTATTACAATACGTTTGATGGGTCTATATATATTACTAAAGAACATTATACATATTTATATTCTTAGTTATAGGTATGGTAAAAGAACAACCATCGGTACCAATCATATTAATCTAAGAAAGAATTAGTGGTCAATTTGGCTATCAAGTTTCTTACAAGAAAGCATGGAAGGCAAAACAAAAAGCTATAGTTAAAGTTTTTGGTGATTGGGATGAATCGTATGCCACATTGCCAAGATGGTTGGAGTACGTGCAATTACATTCATCTGGGTCAGTATACAAAATTAAAACCAATGACTATGTGAGGGGTCACCAAGTGGATAACAGATATAGAGTGTTTCATCAGTTATTTTGGTCATTCAAACAATGCATCACTGCTTTCAACTTTTGCAAACCCTTAATACAAGTAGATGGTACATTCTTGTATGGTAAATATCGTCAAACTTTACCGATTGCTACCGCACAAGATGGAAATAACTGTGTCCTTCCAATTGCTTTTGCCAGTGTGGAAGAGGAAACTTTGTCAGCATGGAAATGATTTTTGGCTCTTATCTGTCTTCATGTCACTGAAAGGGCAGGTATTTGTTTGATCTCTGATAGACATCAAAGTATTAAAAGTGTCATTTCTAATGCACATATTGGGTGGCTACCACCGAACGCATATCATGTGTATTGCATTCGTCACATAACAAGCAATTTTAATCAGCGATTCAAGAATGCAAGCTTAAAGAAAGAGTTAATCAAATTAGGTACGAATGTTGCTTTGGCTTAACTCCAAATATTATTCAGTCGTCACGTATTGATTAATTGTCATATTATTCATTTCTTCTTATAGGATATGAAACATGCAAGCAAAGATTTGAAAAAAAACTTGAACGGTTTTATAATGAGTCACAGGACATTAGAAGTTGGATTAACTGCATCTCTAAAGAAAAATGGTCTTTGGCTTATGATCACAAAGGAAGACGTTATGGGCATATGACTACCAATTTATCTGAAGCTGTGAATAAAATTTTAAAAGGTGCACGAAATTTGCCAGTAACAGCATTGGTGAAATGTACATATGCACGGTTAGTAGAATATTTTGTGAAGCATGGTGAGGAAGCAACAACAGAGCTTGATAATAGTAGTAGATATTGTCGTAAGTTAATGCAGCAAATGGAGAAAAATCAGCAAGAAGCTTCTTCACATCAAGTTCGATGATATGACATGTTGAGAACAAGGTTTGAAGTAGAAGAGACTTTTAATCCTATCATGCAACACTGTGGTAACAAGTGGACTGTGATTTTATCCAATAGATTTTGTGAATACGGAAAGTTTCAGGCGTATCACTACCCATGCTCACATGTCATAGCTGCTTGTGCATCTGTGAGTATCAATTATTGGCAATGGGTTGATCCCGTTTATTCTGTGCAATATGTTGTTAATGCATACTCATCTGACTGGTGGCCACTTAAAAATGACAACAATATTTTAACATCGAATGAATGGAAGTTAGTACCAGACGAGGAAAGATCAAGGGGAAGAGGTCGACCAAAATTTACCCGTATTAGGAATGAAATAGATTGGGTGGAGTCTCAACCACGTCAACGATGTCGTTTATGTAAACAGACTAGTCACAACCAACGCCATTGTCCTAGGCATAATCAACCTACATGACACTTGTTAAGTTCTGTTAATGCATCTGTATTATTTCAGTCTTTTGTTACCTTTTGTCGTTTATGTAATTGACTCCCTATTTTAGGATGGTATTATAATACTATTCAGTATCCAATGTATGGTAGAAATAACTGGGAACATGGATATATTAATAAAGTTTCAACAAAGCATCACATACTCATAATACATAATAACCAAATATATAAATAGAATGCTAATATCACTCTTGTGTGCCCTGCTCGTCATGGTCCTAATCTGGTGTGAGGATGTAATGACGACGTCGATCTCTGGCCTCCCTAGGTTACGTCTCACATCATGCTAGGTAAGATCTGCAACAGCTCTAAATTGGGCATTTAGATCAATGCCCCAATCCCCCAAGGATACTGTAGAACGCCCTCCTAGTGACCCAGTAACTGGACTTGGAGCGGAGGGTGTAAATAGTAACAGATCATACAGAGACGGGGTCATAAAATGATGAAAGTCTGGAACATAGTCTTCTGCAGTACTGAACGGAGATATAGAATGTGTGGTAGGTTGTGATGAGTGAAAGTATCAAGTCTGTGTAGACTGAGATGGAATGGAAGGTATCTGTGAGGGGACAAAATACAACCATCTTGTCTAACTGGAAAAGGCGGTATAGACCATATGACAGCTTGCACCTGTCTCCTCCGTCTTTGAAAACCTCTCCATTCTTTGTGTCTCTCAGGTTGTTCAATATCAACATGTGGCTCCTCAGTGTGTCCACTTTGGACAGGTGGGTCAACTCCTTGTGACGGTTCTAAGATCTGAGTCTGTTCACT